GCTCAGGCTAACAGAAACAGAACATCAGCTGAAAGTACCAAAACAGCTGCTAAAAGCTGCAGCATGGTTATCTCTTCAACTTTGATCTTCAGATTGATTTTACTTCAGTTCCTCTTCTGGCAGAACTTTTCTGACTTTGACATTTACCAGAACCAGCAACCCTACAGGGTCCAGTCAGGACTTGCAGGATCTAGTCAGGACCTGCAGGGTCCAGTCAGGACCTGCATGGTGGCGCTGTTGTCTCTCTGCTCAAAGCTTGTGTTGGACTCAGAGGTTCTGTCTCTGAACCAGTTGTGGACTAGAGGACACAGATGTCCTTCTGTCAGTTTGTGCTGTGGTTCTTTTGTGGCTCCGTTCTGAAGTCAGTCAGAACCAGAACCAGAGTCAGAGAAGACGAGACCATCAGAGAGGAAGGGAGGGGAGGCGTCGCTGAGAGGAAGGAGGAGATTAGCAGCTTGTGCACACGCTCAGTGTTGACGGCGTGACAGGTGGAAGTCGGCAGCTGTGGTTCTGGTTCTGGTTGTGGGAGCGATGCTCGGTCCTCCTGAGGCTCAGCATGTCGGACTCGTGGACAGTCCTCTCTAATTTCTCCCTCCCTGAGAGGAGCATGCTGCGGCGCTCCAGGAGGTAAAACGATCTTCTCCTCCTCTTTCATTCCGTCTGTCGGGCTCACCGGTCGGTTCTGTTGGGTTTCCTCTCTGTTCACCCAGACGCTCAGAGGATGAAGGTCAGCAGACCGGTTCTGTTCTGAAGGGCTGCTCACACCTGATGGTGCCGCTCCGCTCAGAAATGCTTGATGTTAGCGTCGTCGTTTCTTTTCTCTGTCGGTCGACTCTTCCTCCTCCTCGGTGTGTGATGAAGCAGCGGTTCTCCTCCTCCTTCTCCCGGTAATAACGGGGCAGAAACACACCGACACACCTCTGAGGAGGCGAAAGCTCAGACTCCTGCGTAGCAACAAGCAGGTTCTGGCTGCTCGGTAGCTGATTTAGAAGGTTCTGCTGCAGAACGGGTTTTAGCTTCTTGTTCTCTGAACCAGGATTAAACTCAGATCTCAGCTGATGATCTGAAACTCCGGATCAAAAATCCTGAACAAGACTTGTTTAATCCTGAAACCAGATCTGAAGCCCAGAGCTTCAGACCTCCTGTGGGTCCTGACATCAGCCCAGAGCTGGTGGCTGGGACCACAGGAAGTCCCTGAAGGTTTTGTTGGTGGATCAGAAGTTTCTGAACCTTGGGTCTCTGCATCTTCTGTATCTATCATAGTCCACATTGGACGCAAATGGAATCATGAGGCAGAGAGGAGGAGAACCTAATGAACCTTAAAGGTGGAGGAGGAGAACCTAATGGACCTTAAAGGTGGAGGAGGAGAACCTAATGGACCTTAAAGGTGGAGGAGGAGAACCTCATGGACCTTATAGATGGAGTCTGAGATGACCATTGTGTTTAGAACCTGAGTTGTGAAGGCTTGACCCTAAATGAACCCCTGAATTCATCAGTTACCTCGTAAAAACGTGCACGTGTCACTAACTGTTTATCTTTGATGACCAATAAAATCTGTGAATAAAGGTTTTTTTTTCGCACAGACCTGAACGTTGTTGGAGGACGGGAAACTGTTCCACGAGTTGCACCAAAAAAAATCAAAGCTAATTTTGTCAACGAAAGAGCTGAACAAGTTTATTTAATTTAAAGAAAATAGTTAATTTAAACCACATTCATTATCATTAATAATTAATTATTTAATATCATTAAGGTCAGTGTGGCAGCTCCGGTCAGTTTAATGATTGATTAGATTAGTGATATTTCATTCATTCAACCTTACTTTTAATAAGGAACAAAACATTGGTTTGTTTAAAACACTCAAAAACTTGGTGCTCAGAGGAAAGTGTCATAGTCTGCATTAGGAAAAAAACCAGGCTGACGTTGAAAACACCTGGTTAGGCTTGGTAAAGTCCCTGGTTGGTACTAAAACACTTGGTTAGGTTTGGTAAAGTCCCTGGTTGGTATTAAAACACTTGGTTAGGCTTGGTAAAGTCCCTGGTTGGTATTAAAACACTTGGTTAGGCTTGGTAAAGTCCCTGGTTGGTATTAAAGCACTTGGTTAGGCTTGGTAAAGTCCCTGGTTAGTATTAAAACACTTGGTTAGGCTTGGTAAAGTCCCTGGTTAGTAATAAAACACTTGGTTAGGCTTGGTAAAGTCCCTGGTTGGTATTAAAACCTTGGTTAGGCTTGGTAAAGTCCCTGGTTGGTATTAAAACCTTGGTTAGGCTTGGTAAAGTCCCTGGTTGGTATTAAAACACTTGGTTAGGGTGTGGAATGGACCTCGGCTGGGTTAACAGCAGACACCTTCACCATGCTGCTGTGGAGGTTTTTGTTAAAAACGGTAAAGTTGGTGTTGGTTTGAGCGACCGAGGGTCTTAATTTGATGCTGTTGATTGGATAATGAGCTTAAAACATTCAAAAAAATCTTTTTGTATTTTAGTGTTTTACAAAACAAACCCTCATGAAGCACTAGTGTTTTAAAAGCTTCTTCTCCAAAACTAGAAAGGAGGAGGTCTGACCTGAAGCTTCAGCTGAAGCGTTTTCTGTCGTTGGTTTGAATCGTGTGATTAAAGACGTTTGACGCTCGGAACCAGGACGAAGACAAACGGATGAATCTTGTGACGTTTGTGTGGTTTTAGTCGAGGCGTCGACTCTGCGGCGTTCTGCTGCGAGCCGAGTTCCTGTGGCGCCCGTAAGCCTCAAACCTCATTAATATCAGGACTGTTGGAAACACGTCGAGCTGCAGATCTTATCCACGTTCAGCGCCGCCGCCTGCGTGTTTGTCCTGTCGCACGTGTGCTTACGACCGTATGTTTAGCAGAAGAGACGTTAAGCTGACAGGTAACACATGAGCAAACACACACGGTCCCACGTTTAAACGCCGGCTTCACTAACGAGCTCCAAACCAGCTCCGGATCTGCATCAGCTGATGAAACTGAAGTTAGAAGCAAAACATGAACCATGCCAGATTAATGTGTTCATAAACATGTTCCATCAAACAGAACACGTGAAGAAAACCACCTTTAATCTGCTATCATGTACTGATGTGAACATCTGGACTCCAGTGATTTGGAGACACATCTGTTCCGTTTCTCCGTCTCCATCAGAGCTCGTCTTTACTCTCGCAGGTTTAATTATTGTTCTGTTCCTGCAGCTGGGCCGAGCTGGCCGACAGCACGTGGACGGGCGTTTCCAGAGCATCTTGTAACTGTCTCCCTCGTACAACGCTGTTATTGCTAGTGTCACTCAGACCTCTGAATAGCAAGCAGCCCTCAGGGCACTAACGACCAATTGTTAGGCTGATGGTCCTTCATCATGTGAACAGCTGGTTCTGGATGTCAACAACAAACTGGTTGATCCACTATGAGAAGGTGCTGTTTATAAGACTGAGTTTGTTGCAGCTCCTCAGACTGAAGAAGTCCTTTGGATAAAAGACGAAACGTTTCAACAAGAAGAATCATCCAGAGGACCTGACTCAACCTTTTTGTAATGTTCACGAGGTTCTTTGTTTCCTCGTGTGAGAAACAGACGAGTTCAGTCCAGTTTTTAACACGGTCGGCTCAAAACCCCTGCAGGGTCTCTGTGAGCGTCTCAGACCCGTCTGGATTTTGAGCCCTGCAGGAGCTCCCCTCTGACTGAAGACATCTGAGGCTTTAACTCCAAACGTCCAGGTCTAAACAGCACCCTGATAATAAATCATTTATTTAAATTATATATTTGAACCCCCATCTTCATTATTAAAGTGTTCTCCAGTAAACGCTGAGCTGGACAAAGCAGGTCCATGTGGGTGAAGACAGGCAGCAAAATAATGTGCATGGCCAAGACTACAGCTCGACACGTGCACAAGAAAACACGCTGTGATTTTTAGAAATGTTTGCTCAAAACGCACGCACGTGGCCGGCTGGTCGCTAACAGAAACTTCAACTAGTCTCACGCTACTCTCCAACTGGTCTCCAGCTAGTCTCCATCGAGTTTCAGCTAGTGTCCCACTAGTCTTCAGCTCATCTACAGCTAATCTTCAGCTAATCTCCAACTAGTCTCCAACTAGTCTCCAACTAGTCTTAAGCTAGTCTCCAACTAGTCTTCAGCTAGTCTCTAAGAATCCCGACCCAATGATGTTCCACCATAAACCTTCAGCTGTGACCCTGGTCAGTGTTTTCGCTCGGTTACTTGCCTTGACAGTTTGTTAATCTCTTCTGTGATATTTGTGTGTGTGTGGGGGGAGGGGGGGGGTGGGAATGGCGGTTCGTGTGCGGTGCGGAGAGGTGTTGGGCAGGGGGGGGGGGGGGAGTGGGGGGGGGGGGGGGGGGGGGGTTGGTTCAGTAGGTAGGGCACTCGGTTCTGTTGACAGGGTGGGACACCCTCCTTGTATAATAATGGGGGGAACACTGCTGGTCATTATTAGCAGTTTTAGCTCATGTTAGCATATAGCAACAAGTCTGTAGTCCACTTCATCTCATTTTATGAACCTGAGTGTCGGCTCCCGACAAAAAAATACACGATGTATCCCTTTATGTAGGGGACTGTGATGGAGCCCCACCCACATCATCAATGAGAGCCGCGCTAAATTAAAAAGCAACAATTCTTGAAAGAAAAAGCACTTTTACAACTCACAGCTACTACCACGCCAAAGTTTAGCTCCATATCTGTAAAACCGTCTGGACACCAGCCGATGAGACGACACCGATCCACTTTGGTCTCTGTCCACTCCGACTAGCCATTAGCTCATCCGTCCCATTAGATTTAAACAGGTTGTTTAAAGAGTTATGTAGAGCAGGTAAGATATTGACTGTTTGCAGACACGTGTCTGTGAGACAAAACAGGAAATTTTAGTTTTCATCCTTTAGCAGAAAGTAGGTCATATTTTTTATTCAGAACATGAAAAAAGTTCTGAGTACGACGAATTGAAGTCCTTCGGCTGCTTTAGCTGACAACTGGCTGCTTTGATGCTAAACACACACACACACACAAAACAAACCATGTTCCCCAGCAGGGTCCAATTTGTCTGCAGGAAGCACAAAGACCCATTAAAGTCGTCTTTTTTCTTCTTCTCTGCAACCAGAACCAGAACACAGAGCCGCCTCGGGTTCTGAACATGCCCCGCCCCCCTCGCTCCCACCCCCTCTACGTGGATCCTGGGGGTTTTGTCAGGTGGATTTGATGCCTCATCATCCTCATAAATCCATATTCATGAGGCGGCAAGGCGCGGCAGAGTGACTGACAGGCACCGTAAACCGTCTACGATCAGTCGGCCATCTTTTTGTCCCAGTGGGACACCGTCTCCCACAGGCACTGCTTGTCATTTTTCTGTCCCGTCTTCTTGGACTTGGTTAATTTGACTCTTCTCTGGTTCCTCGTCTCTCAGCCCTGACCGGTGCCTAACATCAGCTAAAGATCTACAGTCTGCAGACTAAAGTTTAGCTTTTATTTAGTTTTTAAACCACAGCTCGAATCGTTCATGGATGGTTTAACTTTAATTTAAAAACATCAACTAAACGTGGCGCACGCTGAATGTCCAACTGTCCACATAGGGACAGGAATGTCCCGGTCACAGTGAGATGAACATGGAGGGCCTCAGCCCTCCTGACTTCCTGTAGGTCATGTGATCAGCTGGGGGCGTCCATCCTGTCACAAACACAGCTGCTTAATTACAGAGTGCAGCTGTGACGGGCCAATTAACACGACCAGAACCAGAACCTGCCAGGAGACTTCCTGTTTGTGTCTCCTCGGTTAAAACAGATTCTTCAGATTCACACAAAGTGACCAAACTTCTGTTGTCCAAGTCCATTTGAGTCGTTATGATTTACGAATCAATAAAGTTCTGTTTGAACACAGACTGGATGTCTGTTCTGGTCCGTTTGGACCCGTTGGACCAGATGGGGGTCGGATCCTCGGAGCCATACAAGCCATCAGAACTGTTAAAGGTATATTCCACCTTTTTATTAAAGGTGATCCAGATCTTCATCCTCTGGTTGTGGTTCTGGGAGTCTGATGGTCCGGTCTACATGTGGTTTATGTTGGAGGTTCTGGGACCCATTCTAAAGGCCGCCACATACTCGGGCCGATTTATTAAATTCCCTTCTTCATCCCTGATCTGGTTCAATGGCCTTTTCTTTTGTTTTTGTTGCAAGAGGCAGCGCTCTCTTCCTCCTCCTCCGTTGACGCCATGACTGAAATAGTGAGAAATGAAGGAATTTGTCACGAGAGAATTAAAATCAGGCCGGCGTGGCTGCAGGAGTGTCTGGAGAGTTCCTGGTGGGCCGGTCTGACGTGTGGGCTGCAGGGCCATTGCTCCCTGTTTTAATAGCGAGACCTATTAGTTTTAAGTGGAGCTCGGTCCCGGTCCAGGTTGGACTCCAGCAGGTCCGCTCCTCCTCTCTGATGTTGGAGGTCTTGGTGGACTGGATCTTCATGTTCTACTCTTGTTGTTTTGGTTCTGACCTGAGATCCATTTGCTGCCTGGTTTTACAAAACCTGGGAAAAAAAACTCAGCAGTTCTGCTCCGTTTGGAATGTTGTTGTTGTTTGTTGGGTTTCTGGAACTGACACGAACATCTGGACCATGTGTGACGAGAACCCTGCTCTGCTAATCTCAACCATTACCGTGTTCAGAACCTTCATGTAGAACCTTCAGCTAGATCCTTCAGGTAGATCCTTCAGCTAGATCCTTCAGGTAGATCCTTCAGCTAGATCCTTCAGGTAGAACCTTCAGCTAGATCCTTCAGGTAGATCCTTCAGCTAGATCCTTCAGCTAGATCCTTCAGGTAGAACCTTCAGGTAGATCCTTCAGGTAGATCCTTCAGCTAGATCCTTCAGGTAGATCCTTCAGGTAGATCCTTCAGCTAGATCCTTCAGCTAGATCCTTCAGGTAGATCCTTCAGCTAGATCCTTCAGCTAGATCTTTCAGGTAGATCCTTCAGGTAGATCCTTCAGGTAGAACCCGTGCAGCTCATTCAGCGTCAGTCTGAGATGAAGTCACCGACTCTGAGTTTGTTTCCGTCTCCAGCTGTCGAGCGAGCAACAGGAAGAGTCTGATCGTGACGTCAAGCACCTCGCCAACGCTTCCTCGACCACACTCTCCTTTACACGGACACACAGGTGAGACAACGTTACACAGACACACAGGTGAGACAACGTTACACAGACACACAGGTGAGACAACGTTACACAGACACACAGGTGAGACAACGTTACACAGACACACAGGTGACACCTTCAGGTCTTTCTTTCCCCATGACCTTCAGACTCCACGACCTTCAGACTCCTGGGTAAACTGAGCTGACTCTCAGAGCTGCAGGTCGTCTGAGTCAGACTCGGGTAAACCTCCTCCTGTTTGAGGATTTTATGAGTCCATTTTTGCGAAAGTACCGTACGGTGGATTTTAGGTTCTCGTGTGTCTGATGCGATCGTGACTCATCGTCTTCGTCTCGGCTGTTTGAAGAAACAAAACAAAGGAATTTAAATAAAGAGCTGCTTTGTTTCTTCTAACGGAGGTAAAAATAAATCTGCAGCTCCGACTCCACTGACAGGAAGTCATTTTCTTGTCAGGACTTAATTGAAGTAGAAGTACACACACCGAGTGTTTTTACTTTCTGTGAAGTCATTTCTGGTTTCTCGTCTCTGCGGTCCGTTAGTACTGCTCTCCATCCTTCCAGCTGCTGTATCCGATGTGTTGCCACGGTAACGCTGGTGCTCCTGCGGCGCCGTGTCCTGACCGCCGAACTGCTGATTAAACATCACTCCATGTTTGAACACAGGCTCAGCTTTCTGACGTCTGACTCATTCTGCTGATTCTGTGCCGTTTTAGCTGTTTCTGTGTCAAAATGTTCGGCGCGTTCAGGAGATAGGTGCTGCAACCTTTGGTACCTGGAGGGCATTTACACTTTTTAAAATAACTATTTACAAAAATATTACTGTTAGGTTACATACAGTAGCTAATACCACTACTAAAGCTACTCCTGCTAATGCTAATTCTGCTACTGCTAATGCTACTGCTGCTAATGTTCATTCAGCTACTACTGCTGCAAATGCTAACTCTGCTACTACTGCTAACGCTAATTCTGCTTCTGCTAGTTACTACTGCTAATGTCAGCTCAGCTCCCTCCACAGCAAGGGACCGGCAGATTAGCTACTTTTGAGTTTTCTATTTTGTATTTTTAGCTAGTGTTTGGATATCTTTTTCTATCTTCTTACAACTTTTAAGCTAACATTTATCTCCATTCATCAGCTCCGTTTCGGCTCCTTGGACAGCATCACATCAAAACACCGTTGATGTTTCCGAGTTGTTGCTTTAAAAAAACATAACAGGAAGTCATGGTTTCAGTTTGGTGTTTTCAGATGTGTTCGAGTTGAAGCTCAAGTTTGGAGACATTTCTACAGACAACTGGAGTCCTCAGAGTCCCCAGTGTCCTTGGAGTCTTCAGTGACGTCAGTTTTTATTGTCTTCACAGTCCTGTGTGTCCAGGGTCCTCAAAGTCTTCAGAGTCCTTTATGTCCCAATTGTCCTTGGAGTCTTCAGTATCTTCAGAATCCCTCGAGTCCTGTATGTCCGCAGTGTCCTCTGTGTCAGCAGTGTCCTCTGAGTCTTAAGTGTCCTCATGGTCCTTGGAATCTTCAGTGTCCTCAGTCTTCAGTGTCCTCCATGTCCTCAGAGTCTTCCGTATCTTTAGAGTCCTGTGTCCCAAGTGTCCTCTGAGTCTTGACTGTCCTGAGGCTTGAGTGTCCTTGTGGTCCTTGGAATCTTCAGTGTCCTTCGTGTCCTCAGTCCTCATAGTCCTCTGTCTCTCTCATGAGAAGCCACATCACACAGATCTTTCCTTCTACATCAAAGTTTAATGTCCTGTCGAGCTGATGAAGGACGGTTGGGGACGATCGTCAAAAATGACTTGTTCATTGTTTTTCTTTGTGTCCTTTGTCTTCATGATGTTAAGCAGTTTCCGTCCAGTCTCAGGGACGTCTCAGCAGAGACAAAGCTGAGGCTCCGTTTGTCTCTGTCTCAGGGACATTTTCTTGTTTTTCATGAAAACGTTGCTTCGGTTCGTGACTCAACATTTACCCAACCAACATTTAACTCCTGTGTCGACTGTTTTATTATTATTGTTGTTTGTTTATGGGATTTAAAGTTTTAATTTTTCAAAATGTTTAAAAACAATTATTTGATTCTTCTTTGCAGTCAGAGCTGAGTCGTGTCAAGAATTTAAAATCAAAATAATGTGACAACAGAACGTGACCTTATTTATCTATAAATAATCATTACTTCCTGTTAAAGTTCAAGGTTCGTTACTGTCATTCATCACATGTGGTACATGAGGTGGAACAAAACTGTGAAGGTCCCAGTTACACCCAAAAATATAAAGTATAAAAAGAAACAGTAAATCAGGACCCAAGATATTCACTAAACACTAATAATGTAAAACAATACGGTGTTTTAAACATCAGCCTGAAACCGTTACATGTGCCCTCCTGCTGCCCTGGGGCCACGAAGCCTCAGTGTTAAGGCTTCACTTTGACCCCAGGGCAGCAGGAGGGTCAGAAGAGACAACACTAACCCGTCTGTGAACAGTGTTTATAAATGTTTATTCAGGCTTTATAAAGTAGTAACTCACAAATTACAACACAAATTTAGTCACACAAACTGTTTATAAATCATTAATAAACATTTATAAATATTATTATAATGTTTTACTGATAAGTGTAACTCTTTCATGATCCTTCTAAATTTCATCTGATTTTCTTTTGTATTTGAATAAAAACTTAATTTTATTTTAATGAATCTTTATTGTTGCAGAGCGTTCGAAGGTAAATCAACATCAAAACTTTTTTGTTCAGTTTGTAATGTTGGTGGATCACAACAATATTTATGTTTATCTCGATTGTCTGACTGTAAATAATGAAATAAACACATTTTTGAGTCATGTCACCGATGTTTTGTTTTTGTTTTTCAGGAACCAGCCCGTTGGACAGCCCTCGTAACTTCTCCCCCAACACCGCAGCGCACTTCTCTTTTGTTCCTGCGCGCAGGTAAGACGCTTACACCTGCAGGAAGTGTTGAAATAAACAAAAACAAACAAGACGACCTGAGAGGAAAACAATGTTAGGTTTGGTCTTTTAAACAGTTCTGCTCAAAAGTTTCTGTCCTGTCAACAAATTATTATTTCTTTAATCGTTCTTTTTCCTGTTTGGCCTGAAGTCTGACTTATCCAATCAGAGACAAGCTTGATGTTTCATCCAATCAGAGACCAGCTTGATGTTTTATCCAATCAGAGACCAGCTTGATGTTTTATCCAATCAGAGACCAGCTTGATGTTTTATCCAATCAGAGACCAGCTTGATGTTTTATCCAATCAGAGACCAGCTTGTTATTTTATCCAATCAGAGACCGGCTTGATGTTTTATCCAATCAGAGACCGGCTTTATATTTTATCCAATCAGAGACAAGCTTGATATTTTATCCAATCAGAGACCAGCTTGCTGTTTTATCCAATCAGAGACAAGCTTGATGTTTTATCCAATCAGAGACAAGCTTGATGTTTTATCCAATCAGAGACCAGCTTGATGTTTTATCCAATCAGAGACAAGCTTGTTATTTTATCCAATCAGAGACCGGCTTGATGTTTTATCCAATCAGAGACAAGCTTGATATTTTATCCAGTCAGAGACCGGCTTTATATTTTATCCAATCAGAGACCAGCTTGATATTTTATCCAATCAGAGACCGGCTTGATGTTTTATCCAATCAGAGACCGGCTTGATATTTTATCCAATCAGAGACCAGCTTGATATTTTATCCAATCAGAGACCAGCTTGATATTTTATCCAGTCAGAGACCAGCTTGATATTTTATCCAATCAGAGACAAGCTTGATATTTTATCCAATCAGAGACCGGCTTGATATTTTATCCAGTCAGAGACAAGCTTGATATTTTATCCAATCAGAGACAAGCTTGATATTTTATCCAATCAGAGACCAGCTTGATATTTTATCCAATCAGAGACCGGCTTGATGTTTTATCCAATCAGAGACCAGCTTAATGTTTTATCCAATCAGAGACCAGCTTGATATTTTATCCAATCAGAGACCAGCTTAATGTTTTATCCAATCAGAGACCAGCTTGATGTTTTATCCAATCAGAGACAAGCTTAATGTGTGTTTAAGATCATGGTTCTTTTGGACCTCACTGTGTCCAAGTTTGAACTGTCCATTTGTTGGTATTTGTCTCGTCCCTTTGGACGGCTGCATGTTTCAGTCCAGCTTGAAGGTTCTGGACCTTCTTACTTGGTTCTCGTGGTGACGTAGCACTGGTTTCATGGCAGGACTGAGCCTTGGTGGTTCCTGAACATCCAAACCTTCCATCTGAGGAGGACCGTTAGGGCCTTCTTAAGCAGCTGCAGTCAATCATGATCACTAACAGGAAGTTATAGGCCTTCTGGAACCGTTAGCTCCGCCTTTTTTCAGGTTCAGGTGAATGTTTGGGTCAGTTTGAGCCCTGAAAATAACATTTAGGTCAAACTGGTTCTTCAAAATCATCTAGAGTTGTTAACGAGCCGTTCCACCCTGAAACTTTGGCTGTAGAGCCGTCACTCAGATGTTGAATAATAAACGTCTTACCTGCTGCAGCGGCTCCACACACCTGTCTGCACAATAAAAAATAAAAAAGGTGAGAACCTGAGCCCTAGTCAAGTCAGGAGAAGAAAACCCTGATTCAGATGTTGTTTCCATGGTAACAGTCCATTTCCTGTCCTAAACCCCAGGCCGTTACCACGACAACTCCCTCCAACGTTCTGAGGCGGTCCAAATGAGCCGGAACCAGAACTAATGCTGATTTAAATCAGAACTCAGACCTGAGCTGCTCGTCACTGAGACCGCATCGCCACCGTGTGGTCGGGTCGGGTGGGACCAGATTGAGGCCGATGTTCTGATGAGACGTTCATCTTTGACCCAAGGGCAGCAGCAGGGTGAACATGGAGCTGAGTCCTCCTGCAGCAAACATCTGGATTTAACTCAGGAGCTACATTTATTCATTTAGATCAGGTTTATTTCCTACGACGAGGTCACGTCTGCACATTTCTTTATGTTTTAGTTGTTTTTGTTTTTCATCACTGAACGACAGCAAACAGCTGATTCCAGGGTCCTGGAGAGTCCTGGAGAGTCCTGGAGAGTCTGGAATCTGCTCCAGTATTTTCCAGGTGTTGGAACCGTTTAAAAAACAACAGCTGAGTGTTTTTCTGATTTATTCTGATAAAAGATCAACACCAGCCCCGAGTTTGTTCTGACTGGACTTTAAAGAAGTGGACTTCTCTGGTTCTGGTTCTGGTTCTGGTTCTGGTTCTGGCTGACGATGTTAAAAAGCTTCAGTGAGTGACATCAAACGAAACGTTGAGCCTGAAGGAACCTGCTGGTGTTTTTGGTTTACAGCATTTTTATCTTGACAATAAAAGTTTTGACCCGGGAGTCAGAACATTAAAGGTTCTGGACGCCTGCGGCCCGTTTGGGTTTCTGAGTCTGAACGCTGTAAAACAAACTTCTGTTTGTGTTTCACAGTCATGGACACCGAGCCGACAGGTAAATCCTCCTGTCCCCTCCTGTCTTCTCCACCTGTCCTCTCCACCTGTCCCTTCATGTCCTCTCCAACCTGCTTGTCCACCTGTCCCCTCCTGTCTTCTCCACCCGTCTTGTCCACCTGTCCTCTCATGTCTTGTCCACCTGTCCTCTCATGTCTTCTCCACCTGTCCCCTC